GTGTTGGCCTTTGTCACACAGTCTGACCAAGGTGCTCGTGCATCTCCAAATAATTAGCACATATGCACAGCATTCCTCCAAGGCTCCTTTCCTGGAGTTGTTGGTGCACTCACAGAGCCCCACATGGAGAGCAGCATCCATGGGTTCTAGAAGCACGTGGCTGATTTATCAATAGCCTTGAGTTAAGTTAAAGATGTTTCATATCCGTAGAAACTACATCAGTACGTTTCAAAAATAAAACTGTGTCCTTTTGTTTAAGGGCTGTTGTGCATTTCCAGGAGCTTTTGCATGTGTAGAGCATAACTCCAGGAAGATGTTACCATGTAACCATGCTAAAAGGGACTCCTTTTTCTTGTCATTTTGTGCCTAGATTGGAGAAGCTCTGTTCCAGATTCTTTCCCCCCAGCTCCGCTGATAAAGATAAAATGCAAGGACACAGAAATGGCAGAAGTGCAGAGGCAGACACCAGGCATCGAGCAGGATGACATCTGTGCTTGATAGGAATTCACATAACGCAGAGTGCAAGTGGGCTGATGAGGAAGGGAGCTGGAGGCTAAGGCAGGGGCTGGGGAGTGTGTTTTTCTTGCAGTAACCTCTCTCCTTCTTCTCCTCCTTCTGTCTTTTCTAGGCAGGACAGGGCTGCTTGCTGATCTCTTGCCCAGTTTTGCTGTGGAGATTATGCCAGGTATTCAGTCATTTCACCCTTAATCATCCATTCCTCTGCCATCTTGTCTGTTTATCCTTTGCAGCATCTTTATGTGGTGTATGTTTCACTTGTATGTGTGTTTTACCTGGGGATTTCAAGAGAAAAGCCCATCAGTTACTGGGAAAGTGCTGGCTTTGGACCCGAGAGAGCTGATGCTGGGCCCTGCTGGGAGCCAGCATACAGAGATGGTTGACGTCATGCCAGGATCAGTGTGAGAGCAGAATTGCCAGAGCTGTTCTGGGGACATTTTCTGTCAAGCTCTCTGCTCTCCCCCTGCTAGCACAGAGGAAAGTGTGTTTCAGCCTGGGAGACCCTACAGCCCTGCGTGGCTCTGTGTGTCAGCTGCTCCTGTGCAGCCACTCCGCTCCCCAGAGCTGGCCTGTGCTCTGCTCCACCACCACCACAGATGGCAGCACAGCAGGTGCTGGGAATAGAGGATGAGCTAGCACCCCATCAGTGGCACAGCCCCTCTTGTGCTGCATGGCCAGGCCACGTTCTTGGTAGCACCAGGTGGCTGGGCCTGACGTGAGAGCTCTGTGCCTGTGATAAATCCCCTGCTAGCCACAACTAGCGAGAGCCACCAGTTCTGGCGCTCCTTGCAGGGGAGGCAGAGGCTGTGCAACAGATTGTTCTTGAAAGGGAAAAGCTGTAAGAATATTTAGCCCTCGAGTCATCTGATCATTCCCTGGTGGTGCCCGAAGAGCACTTCTTTCACACATTTGTGCAAAAATGCAACTCCACATAAATGTGTGAAGCTGTTTTCGAGCCTGTCCCAGAGATGCAAACAGAGAGAAAGCAGACACTCACCCACCTCCAGTGTAACCCAAAGCTCCATAGAATTCCTGCATGGCAGGAGAGGGATTGGTCTTTTCAGCATAGATAGATAACAGTTGATTCTCTATTGCCTAACAGTTTTCCCTCCATTATTTAGAATTTTATTGAATGGGTATAAAATTTTGGTGTGTAGGCCAGATATCATTCTGGTGCCCTCACTGCATAAGTAGACAAGAAGAAAGTGTAAGATGCAGCAGCAAACCACATTTCAGCTGTTGGTGTTGCCTGAGTAAAGAAAAGCAGATACTTCTGTGAGCACAAACCAGACAGTGAGGACACAGAGCATGTCAGCTTGGTAGTCACTTGAATCTCAGCATTACACAGTTGTATTGGGAACTGGTTGAATCCCAGTTTTGTTTTGTTTTGTTTTAAAGGTAGAGCCAGCAGGCTTTTTCTGCTGTTCTCTTAACCTCATCAGAAAAGGAAATGGTCTAACATCCTGTGAAGTAAAATCCTGTCTCACAGGTCCCTGTGGCTGGGACACTGATTTCAAACATCTACTTTATATGCTGAGTGAGTCTCCTGCAATGTGCAATGTACACACTAATCTGACCCCCTTTTGTACTCCTAGGATGTTTTCAGAGAGACCACAGATACACTTCTAATGGACTTGCTGTCTGTTTTTTCCTCTACCAGGCTTTTGTCCTTTATGGAGTGGTTGTGAACTGTTCACTAATAGCTCTGGAGATCTGACATCTGAGTTTCACTGGATCTCTGTGGCTGGCCACTTGTGTCAAGCAGTACCATTTCACCTCCTTCTCTGTGTCCATGATGGTTGCAGAAAATAAGATGAGAACACAACAAAGAAAATGCCACTAAGATATTGCTTAGATTGGCATAGATTAGGAAGTACAGGACTGGAAAGGATAGTCGGCTCCCTATCTTGCATTCTCTCCCCAGCACCATGTAATTTCATCTTTCTGTAAGATTAGCAAGCTTAGGAGTGGCCTAAGGTTTGGCCTTTTTCTTTCCCATTGGCCCACTTTCTTTGATGGGCTTCTTTTAGCTTCTCTCTACAGCACTGATCATCTATTTCTGTCCATTTATGTAAGATCTTTAACTATAATACCTGCTTTTCCTGCTGCATTTATCCTCCTACCATATTTACAGGCAGGAACTACATCTTCCATCAGCCTTCTGTTTAACAAAGTAACTCAGCAGGCTTCAGCTCCCCTGCTGCCAGGCAGGCTCCAGAGTCCCTTCATCCCTCAAAAAATCCCTGCTCTCCACTGGCTTCAGCCTAAATTTGTCTTTTCTGCTGCACAGATGACCAGAGCTGTATAACATCAGTAACTTCAGATGAAGTCAAGTGCAGAGGAGGCCAATGTGATGGCATTGATATTTTCTTAATACTGCTGGAAATTTTTCTCTTGTTTGGCCTAGGATTGCATGTGCCATTTTTGGTGGCTGTATTGTGTGAGTGGTGACAGTAATGCTGTGTATACTTGATCATTTCTCTTGTTCAGTTCTTCTCAACCAGTGAAGTCCTGTTCAGAACAGTAATTGTTCTTATCTTTGAACCTGTGACACTGAAAGTATTGCTGCATACTTTGAAATTCAGGATAATACTGCATTTCATATTTCCTATTTTAGTCCCAAGGACAACTGGCCCTTTGTATAACTTGTCCCAGTCTTTAGTGACAATACATCCCTACTGCTTACTGTCATGATATTTTAGCACATTCTTATTTTCTGTGTCAAGGTAATTTATGAAAATTTTAAGCAAAACAGATGCTAGAAGCAGAACTTGAGGGACTGGGTCAGTAATCTCTCAGCTCTTGCTTTCCCATTCATGAATACTTCTGCCCTTTCCTTACTTGTTAGCTGAATGTTTCTCAGCATATAGTAAGTTCAACCCCAACACATTATTCCACAAGAACCAAAATTAAATGCAAATTTAAATGAAATTTATGTGTGTCAGCCAAAAAAGAAATAAAGGATAAAAAAATGAAAAAAATTCACTTCACACTTCTGAAGTGTTGATTTGTAGATGCCAGATCTTTGACTGACATTTTTCAAAGGAAATTTTAAATTCTAGATTTAAAATGGCATTTTTCAAAAGGGGAATTGTTTGCATAAGAGTTAAGGAAAACTCCAGCAAAGTAAAGATTCATACTTCTGTTCAAACAGAACGCTGTGGATGGATCAAAAATGACACTTCTTATTTTTGCATTGTATTAAGAACTAGGAAAAATTCTATTTTGAATGGTCCAAGCGAAATATTTTTCCTTGACTTTTCAGCTTAGCAACACAGGTGAGGGATGCACTGTTTTTTCAGATTCTTCATGCACATTGCAATCCTTGTGTCAATACTTCTTCATCTCAAATAATAGTATACCAGGAGACTTCAGTGAATGTTGGACTTCTGCTTGGATATAGTGGTCTGCTGCTTTTTTTTTCCTCTGAAGTGGGGATAAACTCTTTCCCACTGCAGCCCCAAACAAATGTCTTTATTTGCTTTTTGCCCTGTTTCTTAGGTGGTTGAATAACCACCAAGTCTTTTCCCCACCTGCAGTCTTGCTTTGAGATAGGTTGCTGCATTTCTCTGACTTAAAACCAACTCCAGGCCTCCTGTATGTTCAGAGTCTTGTAATTTCTTGGTCCAGATGTGTTCACTGATCATTCCCTTAGTCTGTGGAACTCCCGTGTAGCTGTAGGTACTGCCTGGCACAGGCTGAGCCCTGCTCCCACCACATTTTCCAGCAGCAAAGTTTGAGAAACCTTTTCTCCCTGCCCTTCCCCTTTAAGCCCCATCCTGGTTTTTGTGGGCCAGCTCCTGCGTGCTTTCACTTGTAGGGTGTTTTTCAGCTGCTCTCTTTTGGGGCCTGGCACACATCATCTGAGGCTTCAATGGGGGAGGGAAAAAGTGGTTGTTAGGTTTCCTGGCTGGCTGTGGTGCCTGAATGGGATGTTCATTCGGCACATTCAAAAGAATAATTGCGCGCGTAGGCCTCGCTGCGAAGGGGCAGGCCTGGCTTGTTCGCTGGGCTATTTATAGCCTGCTTTTCACCATCTCTTGTCCCATTAAAACCAGAATGTGGCTGGGAAACAAACACACAAGCAGGGCATGAACATGGCTGAGAAGAATGAGTCTTTGATGAGGGCCAAACGCTAATGGAGCGCGTCCTGCGGCATTGGTGCAGGCCTGCTGTGGGGCGAAGGGTTTCTGGCCGGGGAGCCAGGGCTCCTGCCTCTGTGCTGCTCGCCTCTCAGCCTGCCAGGGATGCTGCCAGAAGGGACCACATTTTGGTAGCTCATTTCTCACTGTCATGTGCCATTTCTGCTCTGACACAAAGATCAGGAGTACACCTAGTCCTAGACCCACAGGGAGTCAGTCCACTTCTGTTATTCACCCGTGTGTTTTGTCCCCATGCTCTTCGCTGGCAGGATGTTGCTGATGTTCTCTTCCACAGCAATGTGCAGTCCTGTAAGTATCTCCCTTTCTCCCCTTGTTTTCCAGAGTGGGTCTTTGTGGGCCTGGTGATCCTGGGGGCGTTCCTGTTCTTCCTCCTGGTGGGGATCTGCTGGTGCCAGTGCTGCCCGCACAGCTGCTGCTGTTACGTCCGCTGCCCCTGCTGTCCTGAGTCCTGCTGCTGTCCCCGGGCACGTGAGTGACCCTGCCCAGGCCTGGTGCAAATCTGCCCTACTGCTTCTGCTCCCTGGCAGAACAGGAGGAGAATCTGCTAATATTGCTTCCTTTGCCCTGAGCACTTTGCTTGGCTAAAGAACTGGTTCTTAGGGAGTGAAGCATCTGACCTATTACTCAATGGTTGAATGCTCAAAGTTAATTACAAATGTAATTCCCCAAGCCCTCCCTGCCTTGGCAGCTCTGCCTGCTTTTCCAAAGTGTCATGCTCCCATTCCAGAGTTGTTGTTGTGTCAGTGAATGTTGTGGGTCAGAACTAAGAGCATCCTGGGAGGTTTCTTCCTGGCAATGCAAATCAGCTGTCCTCTACAACAGTGCAAAATCCTTGCAACCCAGCAAGGTTCCTGGTCAGGCTCAGTCGGATCTGTCAAGTTCCATGAGCCTCATCCTGCTGCTTGAGTCATCAGTTATTTTTAAAGCTGAACTGCCACTAAATCATGGCAGCGATAATGCTGGCTGTAACACCCTGAGTGTCTTTCTGGGCATCTCTCAGTGTCCTTATTATTATATGCCCTGTTATTATATGCAGCACATATTTTAAACTCTCCTCAGTACCCTTTGAGGCTCAGAGAAATTCAGATTGGTCCTTGTTAATTCATTTGTCTGATTGTCTCCTGTGGGGTTGGTGTTGCAGGTTTTGTCCATGTGTCCAGTGGGTCTGGGGGGGCTGGAGTGTGATGCTGACTCTGGTTCTTTTTCTTTTTCAGTGTATATAGCAGGCAAAGCAGCAAAAGCTGGGTACCCTCCTGCAGTCTCTGCCATGCCAGGTCCATACTACATCCCCAGTGTTCCCGTAGCTGGTGTCCCATCTCCTGCTGTGCTGATGGATAAGTCACACCCCCCTCCCTTAGCCCCAAGTGAGGCCAGTGGAGGAAGCCAAAATGGTAATTTGCAGTGCCAGGCACAACAGTCAGTCCTCTTACTGGGAGAAGGGCTGGGAAGGGGTGGAATGATTGTCACTGATCGAGTGGTGTGAAGAGAAGAAACACAGGGAAACTGCATTTTAATCCTGTCTCTGACAATGACATTTGCTTTAGGGCCACATGCTCTTAACTTTTCTAGGGCCATTAACACAGAGTTAGTTTGTGGGTGCCTAATTAGGTCAGCAGGGAATGGGAGGCCAAGGAGGGTCACTTTGCTGCTGCAAAGGAAGCTGCCACCAAGGAGAAAAGAAGGCAGCTATTTAGCCGCATGCATTTCAGGATCAGAGTGGCTGTCTAAATTCAAACATTCTGCAGCAGAAATGACTCTCACCAATGCAGAGTCACCACTGACCCAGCTACATTCTGATTTCAAAGCACCACACTAAGTATCAGTTGTTAAATTAACTCACGACAGTGTGTTGATAAAACACATCTGAAAAGACAAGATTAAGTAGCATAATTAATTAAGCTTTTGGAACAACCCTATGCGTGCTTCTGCTGCCCCAGTCAGGATATTAACCTTTCTGGAATTACAAAAAGTATTTTCTTTCAACAATCATACTTTTCTTTGGTCACTGAAATCAAAACAGTGCTCTGGAATGGAGCATTTTGAAATAGGAAATACATCAATCACTGATCCAACGCAGAATGTATGCAATCCAAAAACCTTTGTCAGAAAATGATGAATGACACCCCAGTGCTTCAATTTTTTTCTCCTGTGAAAAATGTCACTGCACACAGAGCGTGGTGTTGGTTGTGGGAACTCCAGGGATTTTTTAAGAGTCAGAGCACAGCTCCCAGTCTTGTCTCTGCTAGCAGAGCACAAGTTCAGAATAAAAAACAGCAGATATGTTTAGTAGCCAAATGGAATGGCTCTTAGGATCCCATGATCCTTACACAGAAGGATGCATTTAATAGACAATGCAGCCAAATCAAGCATCTGGACTCAATCCCTCACCTTAAGACTTGACAGGAAATAGTATATATGGCAAACAAAAACATTATCACAGAGCTTTAACCTTTGTGGCAAGACAACAGAGATTCTTAAGCTTTTTTAAAAATGAGTTAATCTTTTTTGCAATAATGTGGACAAACCCTCAGTCTGGATCATGGATCTGTTGTTCAAGGTGCTTGAACTATGAAGCTAAGGGAGAGTTATAGCCTGTACTCTGCTCTTTTAAGGTCCTCCACAATGCCAGAATATCCCCTAATGACAGGCTGGAGATGAGAAAACATTGTGTGGCTTTTCCAAGCTACTTATTTACTTGTTGGCCAGGCAGCAAGCTAAACAAAACAGGTAATGGTTGAGTTTATAATAAAAGCCTTTGTCAGAAGGAGAATAAAAAGCCTCTGTGTCCTCCACACAGCTGGTGTAGGTCTGATCTGAAACTGTGTATCTTTGGGACTTCCACCTTTCTGTCAAGTCCATTTTAAAAAAATGGGATCGGAAGTGCTGGGGGACAGAGACTGGAAGATTCTGTAATTCTGGCTTACATTTTGCCCTAGATAGATTCTGTGCTTATAAATTACCCCTCTGAGGGGATCTAGTGAGCAAACTCAGGCATGAGGATATTTAGAAAATTTGTCTGGGGTTGCATAAAAGCCATGTGGCAAAGCTCAGATTAAGCCTAGGAACTCTATTCTAAACTTAGGGCTGAATGGAGAAAAAAAACTCCCAAAACATTTAGCTCCCTTATTTAGAAGCGTGTTGACAACACATAAGTTAGGATTTATGCTCTGCTTTAAATGCAGTGGTTACCTAGAGGCTCTTGCATAGATCCTTTGAACTCTGCACACAGGGAAGCTTTTGGTCCTAGATCTTTAACATGAAAAGGGTATAAGGATGAGACATCATTTACTTCCTAAACATACTTGTCTGAAAAAAAAATAGCAGTGTTGTCCTTTCTGGAGAGGGAGACAGCTTACAGTTTTGGCTGAGTTGGTTCCACCCACAGAAGAATAAAAATAGTGTCCAGTTAAATACAAATTAAACATTAGAAATTTATTAACTGTTCAAGAGAAGAAAATATGGGAAGAATGTTCCATTCCCTTTGACTTCAGCAAGTGGTTCTGGACATGTGGTCAACATCTCTGCATCTTTATTTCTTTTTAATTAAAATTGGCTTAAAGTAATTCAGACCTGATTAAAGGATTATGGCAATTTACAGATGAAGAGTGTGAGGAAGAAACAATAATATCTTTGGTTCCCAGCTGAAGGAATAATGAAGAGATTTAATAAGTTGAACATTTAGTATCATTATGAGAAGTATTTGATAAATAAACACAGAGACAAAACTGCTTCCTCTGTAGTGGAAAATACTTTTTATGAGCTGTTCACAGTCATCTTTGCAGATTTAAATCCAAAATTAATTTCTAGATGCTTGCAGAATTAACCAAGAAATTCATTTGCCTTTTGATACACAACTGCAGTACCAAGCTTAGTATGAAGCTAGCATGAAGCTTGGCTAATTCTCCATCAGTTCCAGGAGCTATAGAGGTTGCACAAAGAGATGTTTGGTACAGCCTCAGAGTGAGCAGTGGCTCACACTGGAAGAGCCTGGAGGCTGCCTGTTCAAGTTCCCCAAAGGTTAAGAGGATGTCAGAGTGGTTTGCTGGCCTGTGTATAAATGAGATGTCAGCTTAGCTGAGCTCCTAGTCCACACATTAGAAGAAAGAATAGTGAGAGGCCTCTTTCCTGGCACAGTACCAGACAGAAGTGAGCTACCAGCCACAATGGTGAGGTAGAAAACAGCCCTTGCTGCTCATGCAGTGTGGCCAGAGCTGTCACCTCTGAGGCCAGTCAGTGCAGCCTCACTTGAGGAGACCTGCTGTGCTTCCACTTTTTGAGGCAGAGGCAGGATTCCTTGTGTTCCATAAAACCACTGTCTGCATTTCCAGCCACTGTGCACTCACTTACTCACTCACAGGGATAATAAAGCACACACTGCTGTCAGCTGAGCTGTCTGGAGGCATGTTAAAAGAAGGACCCCGGTAGACCTCTACTATATTTTTACATCCTACACCATTCCCAAGTGCAGACACACAAGGTAATATCTCAAGACATAATCACTTATCTTACAGGTGCGCAGTCCAAACCCACAGTAAAGCACTTTGCTTCTGAAGCCTGCCCATGGCACAGCCATTCCTGAAGCACAGCGTGGTTATTTCCAAGTGCACAGAGACACACACACACAGCAGTTTAGGACAGGAGGTGCCTAAGAATACCTCTGCCAAGTCCTTGCTCAGCCCACACAACACATACTATGCGATGTATTACCAAACCCATATGTTAATAGCTCGATGTGTTGCGGTGGTGAGGGATAAAACAGAAGGAACAGGTTGGCTCAGAACCACTGTCCAAGTGTTTAAATTGTTCCCCAGCAGGAGCATTCATGCAACACTGCAGTATTCCCACAAGGGAACATGTTAACCCCATGCAAGGCAGGTGGGTTCCATTTTGTAGTGCTAAGTGAATTGTCCTTACGATGGTTCTCTAATAAGGCTGAATTTGAGGGTTGTAGTCCTCTCTTGTACCCAGACCTGAATTTCTGTCAGTCCTGAAATAGCTCCAGGCTGACACCTTTCTTAAATAATCTTCTATAAAAACCTTATTTTCTTCAAAGAAAGAGTGGAAAGGTGGAGTTCTCTGCTTGCTGATCATAGACCTGCTTTAAGGTAGTCAGACTGTTTGTAGCTATTTTTAGTAGTAAAGTGTGCATGGAGCTTACCTGACAGAGTTAAATCTGCTTTGGCTCCAGGTGTGTCAGGCCTTCTTTTTTACACATAGGAACATGGACAAGTCAAAAAGCTGTCCAGACTTCCCAGAAGTCAAGCATTTCATGTATGTCTGACATATGCCTTTTCTCTAAAGTAAAGCTTGTAAAAATCCCAAAGCAGTTTCACAGCTATCAGTGACCTGGTTGGCCTCACCCCTGGAGTCAGTATAAATCTCAAAGCAGTGTGGTGTGCTTTGTGGGACTTAGTGTTTCCTTCTGTATTCTCTGGAGCTTCTGGCACATGCTTTTCAACCTGTGTGAGGAGAATTCATGGGGGTGGAGGGTGGAGTGGTCTTGCACAGTGACAGCTCCCAAATGCTCAGCCACCTGCTTCTCCTGCAGACTGGGATTTTAGAGGAAGCCTGATCTGGGACTGCTTTTTCCATACCATGACAAATCCTTTCAGTAGTGCTGAGGAAGGAGAAATGATTTCTGCTTTTCTCTCTGCTATCGTCTGTGGGAGTTGGAATCACTCTGTGGCAATGAGGGGGTTGCTTTTGTTTTAGCCGGGCAAAGCAAGCCAACTCCAGAGCGAGCCTGTCACAGGAGGGAGGGTGAGGTGCTGTGAGGATGTCCCACCGTGCTCAGTGTCCATCACTGGATTCACTGGGTTGTACAAACTGGGCATTTCCAAACCATTTTTGCTTTTCCTGCAAACTTTTAAAATGATGCAAGTTCTTACAACTTCACATCCCACACTGTAGACTAATTTCTTGTGAAGCAGCGACTGACTCAGTGTGTTTTGACGCAGCCTACCTGCCTGCAGACGTGAGCTCAACCATAGAATGAGCAGTGTTGTGGCAAAGGCTCCTTGTTCTTACGTGGGTTTTCCTCTAATGTTTTCCTTTTCTCTCCCTAGCAGTGCGCAAAGGGTACAGGATCCAGACTGACAAGGACAGGGACTCCATGAAGGTGCTGTACTATGTCGAGAAAGAACTGGCGCAGTTTGACCCGGCTAGGAGGATGCGAGAACGATGTGAGAAACAAGCATGGTTTGATTTTTTTTTTTCCACTGACCTAAGCAAGACTGGGAAATTCATAGTTAAAAGTTCACTTGGTTTGTCTCAGGGTCAGCCCTTAGGATTTGATAACCAGGATAAGCTAATTGGGACAGAGAAGTCTAGATTTTAGGCATCTACAGGTATGTTCTGATTTTAAAAGTCTGATGCTTACCTAATCATTGTTATAGCAAAGTGAGGGTTACTGAAAAGCTCATGAAAATTGTCCACTCATATAACTAAACTTCGGGATCATCAGCATCTGAAAAGCCAAGTCCCTACTGATACCTTCTACAGCCTGTGGCGTGATATTAGCTGGGATATTGTTTTCACAATTTCCTAAGAGTGTGGTGTCTGTAAATTCCAGCATGACAAAATAGGAGAGGGATGATTTTATTGGAAGTGTCTTGTGGGCTGCAGTGACCACAGTGTGGCTTGAAGGAAGCAGGAAGTTTGTTTGGAGTAGCTGTTGCCCTGCAGAAGGAGCAGGTTGGTGAATAGGGACATGGTGCAAACTCAGAGCTGTGAGGAACTCCTCACTGTCTTCCCATAGCCTCTTGAAAGCTTCATTTCCTTAAATAAAGGCTGAGACTGCACTTAATGTGTGTCAGAATACAAACCCAAGCGAGCATCTTTCCACATCAGGAGGCAGAGGTGCAGAAAGGGACAGGGTGTGTGGGGAGGGCAGACAGTGCTGCTCCTTGTCCTGTGGCTGCTGTGTGCAGAGGACAGTGGCAGGCTGGGGGCTCAGTTCCTGTGGGCAGCACACAGAGCTAACCCATGTTAGACACTGCTAGAGGCTCACTTAAAACAGACGTGTGGGATCCTGATAATCATGAAGGGAAGGGCTTTAAGGAATGACACTACATCAAAGCTCTGTACAGATTAGGCATAACGAACAAATTATATATACTTCTAAAACAGTCATTGCTGAGCACACTGTCTTCTCCACCCACAAGATTTACTATAAAAAGACCTCTGCAGATTGGTATGTCAGGCCTACAGATGTCAGTGTGCTTGATGGGGTAGAGACTGACAGTGATTCAGACAGACTTTTACTTTTTCCTTAATCTTTTTTTTGAGGGGGTTGCCTTTGTTTTAGCTAGGCAAGTCAGGCCAAATCCAGAGCCAGCCTGTCTCACACCAGGAAAAGGGGAGGTGGCACAACTTCTGTGCTGTAGTGGTGTCCCACCAAGCTTGGTGGCAGGGAGCTCACAGGTGGAAAGCCCTTCCTGAAGGCTGAAGTCAGTTGTCTGGCACAGAGTCATCTCACGCCGTTTGTGATACCCCCAGAATCCCCGCCTGGCTGCCATCAGGAGATGCCCACCTCATTTCTCCCCTGCAGATAACAACACAGTGTCTGAGCTGAGCTCGCTGCACGAGGAGGACCTGAACTTCCGCCAGCCCTACCGGCAGTCACGGAGGAAACCTCTGCCCCCCGCGGGGGACGTGGACGGCGACGCCGAGTACTGGGCCGGCGTGGTGGGCGGCGGCAGCACCTCCAGGTCCCAGGCTGTGTCCGACTACAAGGACGAGCGGGACAGCTACTGGCACAGGTGAGGGACACCGCGCCGCGGGGCAGCTCCATCTGGCAAAGCGGTAAAGAAAGCAGAAGGGACAGATGGGCTGGTGGCTCTTCCCCCGTTTCCTGCTGCCCTTGCTCTGCTTAGCAGGAGAGAGGGGCTAGAGGGAAATAGGAAATCTGGACATGTGAGGTCAGAATGAAGCTTCATTTGCCACAATGTGATTGCAACTCTTAACATGTAACAAGCTGCGCTTGTGCTCTGGCAAGCAGATCTGTAAAAACAGAAATAGGAAATATGGACATGTGAGGTCAGAATGAAGCTGATTGCCACAATGTGATTGTAACTCTTGACATGTAACAAGATGCGCTTGTGCTCTGGCAAGCAGATCTGTAAAAATAATAGATTCCTGTTGATATTAAGAGTCATAATACTTTTTTCTTCCTGAAGTAGATACTTGTTCTTATTTCTGCCCCTTCTGAGTATTGCAAACCCACATCCATTAAGGAACAGTGAGCCTGCTGAAGCTTACCTAGCTGGGTAAAGCTAGGTATAAGCCCCAGTCCCAGTGGAAAGTAACAGTGAGATCAATAGGGAACCAAGCCACCCTTCCCATAGTGGGAAAGTGCAAATCTCTCTCTTGAGCTTTGTACCTGATGCCTCCAGCACTTCCCAGAGCTGGTGTTCTTTATTATATAGGAGTCACACCCTCCTGCTTTGGTGCAGCTAGACTGGTGCTGCAGGCCTGAAGGTCTTGCATTCTGGTGCCTAGAAGAGAGATAGCACAACCTTCCCTCAAGCAGAACAGTATTCCAAAAGCAATGGCAGGGATTTCCTTCCTTCAGTACTGGGCTATTGTACCAGCTCACTGTCTTTAAACCTGCTTCAAAACTGCCCTGCTGTGAGCTTCTGTAGCTGGGCTCTTGGGTTTTTCCAGCAGGATATACACCTACAATCTCTACGATGAAGGAGAAGCAGGTCCAGCCCTGCATATTGGAGGACAGGGCAGGTGCACCCTGGGGCTCACCTCAGGTAACATTAGACATGAAGAACCTGAGCTATCTGCACTAAGCTGCCTTTACAGTCATCAGAGAGAACCTGGGGTTTCAAGGATGTGATGGATTCTCTTCCTATGGAAGACGATGAAAACAGCTCAGATGATTCATGCCCCCAGGAGGGCCTGCTTCCATCCATTGTCTGTGGAAGCAGCTGGGGGGGAATGAGTGCAGCTGGATCCCGCCCTCTAACTCTACCTCCTCCCTCTTCCAGCCAGCAGAGATCCAAGTCAGAGATGCTGTCCCGTAAGAGTTTCTCCGTGGGAGTGCCGGCCGTGTCCATGGACGAGCTGGCGGCCTTTGCCGAGTCCTACAGCCAGCGGCCGCGGCGGGCGGACAGCCAGGAGATGCGGCGCTTCGAGCGCTCCGAGTCGCACGGCGGGCGCGGCGGGGGGCTGCCCCACCAGGACAGCTCCATGGAGGAATACTACACCAAGCGCTGCAGGGGCAACCGGGAGCCGCTGACGGACTCGGATCGGGGCTGGTCCTACAGCCCGCCCCGGAGACGGGCCCACGAGGAGAAGCACCTTCCCAGGCTGGTGAGCCGGACGCCCGGAGGGAGCCAGAAATACGATCACTCCTACCTCAGCAGCGTCCTGGACAGGAAATCCCGGAGCTATGACGAGAGCGGTGACCATTGTGCCACCCCCTCGAAGCTGAGCTCGCAGCCCAGCCAGAGAGGAGGGAGCACGTACTACGCCTGGTCACCGCCCTCCACCTACAAAGCCGAGAAGTCGCAGCCGCCGCCGCAGCAGTCGTCGTCCCCCGAGCAGGACGAGGAGGAGGAGGACAGCCTGCCCCCCTACAGCGAGAGGGAGCTGAGCCGAGGCCCTTCCTACAGGGCCAGGGAACAGGCCTACCTCAATGCCTCTGACAAGAAGAGGAAAAAGGACCCCAAGAAAACAGTGAGGCCATGTCTGGTGGTCCTGGTCCAAATAGGCTGAGCGGAGAGCCACCAGGCAGGGGTTACTAACCAGAGTTGATGGGCAAGGGGGTTTTCCAGGAGGGTGACACCTGGAGTCTGGGTGTCACTCCCTGTGGGAAGGGGGGAAGGAACTGGGGGCTGAGGAAGCCAGAAAGGGTAATAGCTCCTACACAGGAGTCCGTGATGGAGGGGAAAGCCAGATGTGCTGGGACTGGGAAGGTAAGGGATGTCTTTGGCATCTGTGACCTGGCAATCCAAGGTGGAGGGAGTTTGTCAGAGGTTCAGGAGGATTGTGGTAGGGAAGTTACCCAGGCCTTACAGAAATTACTGGGCTTTGCTTTGGCCTTGATCCTTGTTAAAGAAGGGTTGAAAGGCTCTTGTTCTTCTGGACTGGGACTGGGCTGGTAGCAGGGGATGATGTAAGAGACAACTTTCTGAAAGGGGTGAGATCACAGACTCCCAGGGGTGCATGGGCCCATGGGGTCCCGTGGAAGCCATTCATGCCAAAGGCATTCCTCATCCAGGATACCAGCAAGTGCAGAACATCCTGCCACAGCCCAAGCTGGTGAGGACTGATAAGTTCATGGCTGCTGGGGAAGGGGATCTTCCCCATCTAACCCAGCTGGGGAATCTGCACCATGAGGGAGACCTTATCATTAGAGTAACTTGGCTGTGGGAGAGAGGACTGGATTGTGAGTGGGCTAAGCTGTTGCTGTTTAGTTGTGTCTCTGTCAAAGCTTTGTCTGTCCCTCTGTTTGTTCAATGAGATATTTCCTGTTGACATTTAATCTTCTCTCTTTCCTCTCAGAATGATTTCCCAACAAGGATGTCCCTTGTGGTTTGAAGTTGTTGTGGACCTGTCATGTTGATGGGCTGGATATCATGAGGTGACTGCAGTGGAGAAGATGCAGAGCAACAAGCAAGACATGCCTCTGTGAACCTTTGCAGCCATCAGCCATGGACTGGTTCAATTTTTTGTTTCATCTGGGGGAGCTGAGGCTTTTGTAAGAGACAGACTCCCATGGACAGCACTCGATCCCAGAGGCTCTGGGAGTCTGCCAGGAAAATGAGGCTAGGGCTCTCTTTGGCACCCTGTTTTCCAGTGCCCTCCATTCTGCTCTGGATGGCAGCCACGTCCCTACTGCCTCTGCAGTCCTCCCTGCAGCCCTGAACTCCACGTGAGGCTGCCTTTGTGCCTCTTGCCCTGTCCCATGTGCAGAGGGAGGTGTGTGTACCTCTTGCTCTGTTTCCCTCCTCAGTTCTCTGGATCAAAATTGTCTCCACACTTAAAGCCTTTTCTGTATCACCCCTGTGCTGGGAGGAGGCCTTACAACTGCAGACTGCCTCCAGCTGATCAGGCCCTAAATCACAAAAGAAAATCCACATCCTTTCAGACACTGTAAGAAAATGACTGATGAGATGTTACCTTGATAAGGGCTGAATGGGGAAAGAGACAATTATGAGCTGGTTTGTTCAATATATTTAGTTCTGTTCGTTGTGTGATGAGAGTTGCAGGTGAGATTGATGTATTGTTCTGGAAGTGGGTCAAAGTAGCTTTTATTGTGATGAGAGCATGATTTGTTTTCCCCCTGCCCCCAGCTGTGTTCTGTTTTGATGCTGTTGCATTTCCTAGCAGCTCAGCTGTGAGCCTGTAGAGCTTCAAGTTGGAATACCTACTCCACTGTTTTAAAAGCAGTGCTCTAGCCTTCCTAGTGCTCTGCTTCCAGCACCACCAGGCACTTCTGCCACTCTAGTGAGTGGCCTTTTTGTTCCAAGGAAGCAAAAAGGGGACAGTCAATGAGAGGGCAGCTGCAGACCTTCATCCTGTGCCCTGGTATCACTCCCTTCTGGGAATAGTTTCCCTGAAGAAACTACTACTGAAGAGACCAGTAACAGCAGTGGGAAAAGAACAAGCACTGTGGATGGATACAAGCTTTGAAAGTCACCCTTTTCACTTAAAACCATTCCATTCACTTTGGTTGGGATGTGGTTTTAGTGGCTGTTGTCTCAGGAATAGCTTTATTTAGAAGTGAGTGCTTCACACCATTTGGAAGCCTGACATTCTGGTTTTTATAGGGTATTATGCAGCCATTTATTTAGCTGCTAAAATCATCATGTGAGGGAAGATGATGGGAACATTTTAAGGTCCAGTATCTTGATCCCTATTACACCTAGAAACAACTTAGTGCCCTGTTGTGTTACAGACATTATCAGCCTCTGAAATGACATCTTTGCTGTTCCTGTGGGAATTTGGGAAGCTAGCTGGCCTCAGATGCTCATACTGGCAGTACTGTTTGGAACACAAGGTATATTAGCATCACTGCAGCTCTCCATAAAAATGATAGATTAATTTCTGTGTTACTCTTCTGCCAGACAGTTTATCCACCAGGAATGGTCAGGGGAGAGGAAGAATAATCTCCATAGATTTGATGACAGTTTTCATGTGAGAAGGTGAGTTGATGAAAGGATGACGTTCTTCTCCCACACTCCTAGCGATGACTGTAGTTTTGGAAATCCCAGTCCTGGTCTTCCTGGCCAGAGAGAGATTAGCTAGCAGGAACATACAGTTGTGGAATTGTAGAATTGTTTGTGCAGGAGGTAACCTTTCAAGATTTCAAGATTTAAAGTTTCAATCCTCTGCTATGGGAAGGGACATCTTCCACATATAAGGTTGCTCAAAGCCCCATCCAACTAGACCTTCAACAATTTCAGGGATGGGACATTCACAGCTTCTCTGGACAACCTCTTCCAGTGTCTCACCACCCTCAGAGTAAAGAATTTCTTCCTTGTTTCTAATCTAAAATTACTTGAAAATCAATGCCCTGGTAAAAAGTCCATCTCCAGCTTTTTAGTAGGTCACTTCAGGCACTGGAAGGCTCTATGGTCTCCTCAGAGCCTCCTCTTCTCCAGGCTTAACAGCCCCAGTTCTCCCAGCCTGTCTTTATAGAAGTATTCCAGCCCCTTTGACCATTTTTGTCTCCCTCCTCTGGACCTGCTCTAACAGGTCCATGTCTTCATGTGGGTGGCCCCAGAGCTGAACACAGTACTCTGTGTGGGGTCTCAAGAGAATGGAGCAGAGGGAAATTCCACTCCTTGGCCTGCTGGTCACTCACCTGATGCAGCCCAGGATATGGTTGGCTTTCTGGTCTGCAAGAGCACATGGCTGGCTCATGTCCAATCTATAAAATCATAGAATTGTAGAATGGTTTGGAAGAGACCTTAAAGATCATCTCGTTCCCCAAATCCTTCTCAGGGGTCCCAGTCCATTCTTCCCCCAGTGTGTACCAATACCAGGGGTTGCCCTGACTCAGGTGTAGCCCCCCACACTTGGCTGTGTTGAACTTCATGAGGTTCTCATGGGCTTGCTCCTCAAGCCTGTCCCAGGGTCACTCTGGATGGCATCCCTGGCATCATTCAGCTTGCTGCCACCCACAGACTGCTGAGAGGGCACTCAGTCTGTGCCATTAATGAAAGTTGAATAGTGTCAGCCTTGGTGCAGACCCTTGAGGGAGCCACTTGTTACAGCTGTCCTTCTGGACACTGAGCCATTGACTGATGCACTGGATGTGGCCATCCAGCCAATTCCCTGTGCATTCATCAAACCCATCTCTCTCCAGTTTAGAAACTAAATGTTGTGTGGGACTTTGTCAAAGGCCAGAAGTCAAGGTGCATGATATCAGATGGATTTTCCTTATCCATCAGTGCAGTCACTCTGTCATAGAAAGTCTCCAAGTAAGCAGGTGTGATTGGGCCTTGGTGAAGCCATGCCAGATGTCTCAAATCACTTCTCTCCCATCCATATGCCCTGCTTCCAGGAGGATATTTCAGGGCACAGAGGTGAGGCTGATTGGTCAAGAGTTCCCAGGGCCCTGTTCTTCTATCCCTTTAAAACAGGTCTGATGTTTCCCTTTTACCAGCACTGGGGACCTGACTGCCTGAGTGTCACGACTTTTCAAACAGGGAGAGCAAGTTAGCAACTGCATTTACTATCTGTATTATGGCTGGAGAGATTTAACATTTTAAGGATTTTCATCTTTTTTTTACCATTAATTGTGTGTTCTTAGGAAAATCACAGCACAGTTAGCAAGAGGTGGGCAGGTGCGTGCCATCTGAGGTCTCTCAGGCCTTGGGAAGTCTACAGAGCTACACTGCATGCTGGTTTAAATCAAACATTCATTCTTGACATGAGGATTCTAGTAAGTTGATGTTTTGTTAGCCTGAAAACCTTGGCAACCCCTGTGCCATGAATTTCAAAGCAGCTTAGCCTGCTATCGTTTCCATCAGACCCAGGAAACAGTTGACACAGAAATTTGGAAGTGCATCTGACTGTCCCAGAAAGGGGCCAAACCAGTGGTTTTACAATCTCTGAATACCTCTATATTTTAAATCATACTGAAACCCTGAGCATTACAATCTTCTCATTTCAGTAATGTTCTGTCCCTTATCTCAGTCACTGTAGTTTATTTGATCAAGCCCTCAGGAATGAGCTGTGTGTATTAAAAATACAAGTCTTCATTTATTTGAGTCCGTTTTGTTTGTTCAGTGCTGGTACTTTAGGGCATCTGTACACTGTGTGTATGAAGTTGCCATTCGTGTATCTAGCTTTTAAATGAGTAGTTGCAAGCTAATTCTTTTAAGAAAACTGTTTTAATTGTACAAACAACTGTTTGTGAGAATTTAGAGACATCTCTTGAATCCAAGTACCTGGAAAAGTACTGAAGATTTTATGACTAGTGATTCTGTGGGTTTTACTGGATAGAAAAGTTTCAGCTGCAGAAAAAAAAAAAGGAAGTCTTAATTCCCTGAAGTCAGATCTGAGTAGCAGTAACCTTGCTCTACAATTTTGGATTTGGAATTTTCAGTTACTGATCATGTCTGTCCTCAGGCCACCTTCATTTTTCCCATTAGAAATGTGTCTGCAGCAAATGGACCAAATCAAGAAGTGAGGGGTGACTTAGAGTATCTGCACAACCCTAATGACCTGTGACTCCTGCAGCAGGGGAGCAGGGGGCCAGAGACTGACAGACAGCTCATGTTTCAGCAGAGGAGTAATGGTTTGTGTCTGTGCCATCTTTCAGAACACCTGCAGAATGCTGGTGCTGGGAAATAATGAGCCTGGTTAATATGGGGTCTTAAATTATACGTTTTCCAGTGATGAATTTTTATTGCTGGCATAAAATTAAAATCCTTTTCTTACTGGATACGGATGTCTGGGTCATGTCAAGGACATGGAGAGTTTTGTGGTCTTAAAATGACAGCATCACAACAGTGATTTGCTAGGAAAACAGATAGTGAGAGAGAATCCTGTAAAAATTTAAAAGAGCCCCTAGGCAAAAGCAGGATCGAGCATTAGCAGTAGATTTGGCTGTACTGTCAAAGAAAAGTGATCTTGGCTACTGGAGAAAAAAGGTTTTGACATAATGGAACGGGAAAATAAATATCAATGGTAATGACTTTTCATCAATCCCATTATTCCTTTAAAGTACATTGTAAAAGTTCCAATGGGTGGCTTCAGTGTGAACATCCTCAGAACACTCCATCTCCACTGAAATGGAAAATTAACAAAATTAGCCCTTTGCATACTTTACATTTTTGAGAAACTCTCAACATTTATGAGCTGCAGCAGTCAGCCAGAATTACTCAGGTCTTTGTGCTGGCATGTGGTCCAGGGGACTGGACTGCAACATCCCCACATTTGTTACTGGAGTTGGGTCAGGGGAGGCCATCAGCAGTGCACCCCAGAGCTGAGAGGTAAAGGACACCTGCTGGGAGAGATCCCTGAGAAGGAGCAATCACAAAACATTGCAGAAGTCAAACCTTGCCACAAACTGCTCCAGGTACATAAATGCAGCACCACGGTGTTTATCATGCCTGGCCTATTCTGAAAATAGTTTTAATGATGTGGAGATTGTTGAGAAACTGCATGGAGCTGTCTTTTTCTCCAGGTAGCTTTCACACAAGATGTGCCTGAGGATCCGTTCTTGGTCACCGAGTACAGGGTTTGGAACATGTGGAAATAGAAGCTAAAGGGGTTTTAGCCCTTACTGGAGCAAAGGAGAATCCAGGAGCAAAGATGCCTTTGGCATCTGCCAGGTGCTGCAGATTTGCCCCTATAATTCCAGAAACCTCCGTGGTGTAGCATCTCCATCAGGCTGTGCTGGCTGTACGTGCTTTCTACAACAGCTGTGATGTTGAAACCACCCTCATGTCACCTGGGGCTCGTAAAGTCCCTTTCTCATTTCTTAGAAGATCAGAGAAGGTATCTACTACATAATGTGAAGGAACAGCTATCATTTTGATGTGATCTCAGAAATGCCAGCTGGATTTATCAGCACTAGAAACAGCAGAAATCTGAAGAATAAAGTTAGCTAATACTAAAGGAAGGAACCTGCCGTGATTCCCATGTGAATTCTCTTGTGACCTTTATAATTCTTTCTGACATTCACCCCTGCCTGCACAGGGGCCTTTGCCAGGGGAGGCCATCACCTCCTCTCCCTTTTGCCTGTCATTTTTGTCATGCTTGTAATGCCTCTCTGACCCCTCTGCTTTCCTTTGGCTATTTCCAGTCAACCTTCCATGTGCCTAGGGGTTCCAATGTAGATGTTTGGATGTCGAATGAGTGGCATTTTGTAAAAAGGCATTTTTGCCCCCTATAAAATCAAAAATTACAGAATGCCCACAACAAAACCCCAAGCCCTCCAGATATTCTCTCAAGCCTAAGCAGGGGTGTTACTGGAAACATTTTAAAAACTAAAGCTGAACATAATTTCAAAATGGGTCAGTATTGTTTCCAGCCCCAGGGCAACTGCAGTCAGAGCTGTGGAGTGCAAACAGCAGGAGCAAATGCTTTCAGGTTTCATTGTCCTGGGTGAGAGCAGTGGTAGAGAGGAGCAGCACTTAATGAGTCAGAAAGCAAATGGAGTTCCAAGGTGCTATTACTTGCATGTGAGCTAGAAGTGTGAACTAGAGGTTGACAGGCTTGGCTTAAAAGCAAAATTCAGTCCAGGGAAAGTTGAGCCCTGGCCCAGGGGTACAATTTTCTTGCTGTTTACAGATGGGCTGGGCTTTTTTCCTGCCTCTGTTGCTGCCTACCACAGCCATTCCCCAGCCATTACGCAGTGAGTGAGTGGCTTTCTTTGCTGCTGTCATTTTACTTAGATTGTCCTCCCCTGTAATGAACTTTTTCAATATGAGGGGGAGAAGGACGTAACAATACTCTATAATGAAAATGTAACACTTGTATAGCTTTTTGGGAGACATCCACATCCCCAATTACCAAGCATTATACATTTGTTGTGCTTACAGCATCGAAGTCGTTGCCTTTGAGTTGTCACCATGGAGAGTAAAAGCAGGAAAAGCTCCCACCAATCTGCCTTTTTATTATCCTTCAGGCAAATAATTTGCCCAATTTTTGCTAAGATATGAGCAGTTTACGTGAGTAGTTTTCAACCCATTTTTTTGATTACTGGGCAATAAACCAAATATTTTCCAGTAGAGCAGCAGACACTCCATAAATCTCATACCATTCACAGGATAACATATAAAAAACATTCTGCCCAGCATTTTCATATTAAAAAATCCATGCAGGTACCCTATGGAGCCACACTTCTTCAGAGAAAGGATAAACTTTTCCCCTGCTCTTGCAGATGTAATTTTTTGTTTTTAAATTCAGAAAACTTTTATCTTTCTATTACAGACATTTTTTTGCCTCTTTGTCCTTAGGTCTGCAATACTCTGAACTGATTATTTTTGTGTCATAAACAATCAACTTCATTCAGATCCTGTCCCAGTGCTGTAAATAATGGATTTAGGCTCACATTGTTTGTAGGTGTAACCTAAACAGCATTTACATGTTTAAATGTGTCTGATAGGTGTTATCAGCAGTCAGGTGCAAAAGAAGCAGCTCCCAGCTCTGCCCTGTATTTCCCTGTGCAAGGCACAGCATCCCTTGGCTCTGAAAATTGTCACTCTTTTATTTTACCACCTGTAAAAGTGCTCAGTGTTTCTTTGGGCTTCTTCATCACTCCTCTGACTGTCCCTCAGTGCTCCCCCTCTGCAGAAGTCTCCAAGCCAACATGGAGCAGGAAAGGTGTCCATCCATACCTTAAAGACCTGACAACAGAAGCACTGAGAGGTCACCCAGCTCAGAGCTCTGCAGGAAGTCACTTCTGGGTGGGAAAGTGTCTGTGCCAGCCAAGCAGAGGTGCCCTGCAGCTCCCACTGTAATTCCTGGCTACAACTTGCACACTTATCCGTGAGCACCTGGCTGTAGGTACAGGTTTGTGATTCAGGGCCATTTCTGAATTAGAGAAAGGAGTCTGAAAAGATTGCCTCAAATGGCACAGGACCACTTATTACAGCAGGTGTAGTGTTTTCATTTAGTCCTCGCTGTGTGACAGAAATCCTTTCTGTTTACATGTCATGTTGGCTTCCATCAGCCTCTCCAGAGCAGGTGGGAGTGATTTTCTTGTCCCAGTTATCAGATCTTCTCTTTGAGCAACAAATCACTCAGTGCACTTGTCTCTGAATAGGTACTCCAGGGTAGTGAGAGGCAGAGCTCCAACTGGTTGCATTTTACACTCAAGAGCCTGCTAAATCATTAATTAATTTAATCTCTGAAAGTTCTCTGCTTCCTGGCAAAACCAGAATATGTGTTTCTACAGGCCTCAGGCCTGCTCACCATGGAATTAAAAGTTTTGGCAAGGAGTTTTAACATCCAGTAGGGTGGAGATCAGGTAAAGAAGCAACACAAAAAGTTATAAGCTTTACCTTGTGCAAAGTGTGTAAAAGATGTGTAAAGTGTATAAAAAGTGTAAAGACACACTGCCCACTGCTGTGTCCTTCCTAAGGACCAGTCTGTCTATTAGTCATTACTAAATTTATGTGCAGTGACAGAAAAGACACCCATGGTCTTTGCAAATGGGCCTCTGACAGGAGGATGTAGGGGGAAATATGGGTTAAAGCAAGTCAGCCAAGTGACAATGCCCAGAGGCCTCTGGCCCCTGGGACTGTGCCTTTTGGGAAGGACACAGCCCAGCAGGACCTACTGCTCATGGCTCTGGGCTGTCCTCAGGGAACAGCCCTGCTGCTGACAGCATCCCTGACAAGGGGTTTGCAACCCCTCTCTCATCTTCACATCAATGACTCTGCAAGGAGGGTGAGATCACTAAAACAAAGGCTATCTTAGCTATGTAAACTCCTCCTGGATTTCTCTTTCAGGTTTTTCGCAATCTTAGACTTTGAAGAGTAGGCCTATGCAGTTAAAGTCTGAGCAATACTTGTCTAAAATGGAGGTCCTGCAGATCTTCATGCATGAACTTGGCCACAATTACTGAGTGCATACAGAAAGGGTGTGTGGACCTGGTACCTGGAGTGCTTTTCTTTATAACTTGGAGTCCCAGCTTCTTGAGCTGAAGCTTTCAGCACAGTCAAGTGCTCAGGATTTCTGAGAGAGTAAAATGACTCAAATTGGCAAAACCACAGTGCACACAACACCCCAGTGCAGCCAATTTACAGAGACAGCAATGTGCAACCCTGGCAGCCAGAACCAAGTGATGGAACTTGGATCTGCATCTTTGTGGAGCTGAGCTGCCAAGGCTTGGAGAGCACTTGGTCCCATGCACTGAAAGGTCTTCACCCCATGGACAGAGTGGCAGAATTTGTGTGGGTAGCAGCCTGTGAGCCTAAGGTATGTTTTAATTAGTACTGGGGGAGGGAAATGATGAAATATGTTTGGGGTTTGGTTTTTTTTCCTTTGTATTTTTTCTTCCTTTTTTCCCCCTCTTTAAATAGAAATATATATTTATATCTATAAAATTTTTTTGCCTTCACTCCTCAGAAGAGAGACCCACCTTCTGTTCAGGCCAGTATGGTGCCTGAATGAAAAATTTCTCTCCCCAGTTTCAGTAAAATGCAACCTAGGCTGGTTCTTGTGAATAGCTGTAAAAGGAAAGTTACTGTAGCAGAGCTCTGTAATCAAGAGGTCTCCATGGACAGCCTGTCATCGTGATCAGAGACACTTCTTAATTAACAGAAGATGCTGCATTGTAGATGAAACAATTCCTAAGTGTCCCAACTTTCCTCATCATATCAATGAGCCTGGAGTTACAGAGCTCCCGACAACAAGGGGCTTTAGAGGATTTCAAGAGAATTTTAAGTCTAAAAGTTCAACACTCAAGCATGTGCAGCATAGAGAGAACACATTTCAAAATGTGTTTGAAGAGCAGAAGCCTAGTTTTGTACTACTTCAAAGATCTTTGAAAGGCAGAGTGTGGATAGCATCCCAAGTATTGCTGGGAACATCTGTGATCCACACACTTCTGTGACAAGCTCAACCTTGCTTGCAAGAAAATCAATTAGAAAGCTGCCCTTGCAGCTAAGCTTAACTGATTTCCTGTTTGAGCATCTCAATTACACTTGATTTCATGATTAAACTCATTCAGATTAATGGGAAAAACAAAAAAA